CACGCTCCGACTGCCACTGGGGCTGCTGCCCGAGGAGTGACCAGGGAGCGTTCCTGCAGCCCTGAAACGGGAAAATCCCAAATACCGTTAATCTAATATTGCTTCTACGAATCGTTCTCTTGGCATCACGAAACTGACTTCCTCATACGCGAATGGCTCGGGTAAGGCGCGTTTTGGGAGAATTTCAGCAAGAACCGGTCTCTTCCCCATCAGTATACGATTCATCCAGATGGATTGATGGTCGAAATGAAAATCAGCATTTATCGATTTGATCGTGCAGGAGTGCGGTAGTCACGGAAATAGCCGACGGGGTGCCACGCTAGGTCCTCCCTCGACACTCAGGAAAAACTGCGCCGGTGCCTGCACTCGTCTGATGAAAGCCACGAGCACTTCAGCAACAGCTCCTGAGCCTGAGTCCCTTCGGTGTGCCTCGCAGAGAGCCCTTGTGCGGAGGGTGCGGGGATCCTCCTGCTACACCGGGGACGGGAGAACGCTGCCCGAGACAAAGCCCGAGCTGCCTTCAGGAACGCACCACCGCGGCCTTCCCAGCCCGTGCATTTCCAGCCGATTTCGCACCTCTCCAGCAGCTCCCGGCTGCGTAAAGTGGCGCTTGGCAGATGCCGGCTCCCAGCTGCGGTGCCCCGCGGCTCCTCGGCCCTGCTCACGGAGCGTCCTGGCCCGCCTGGCGGGGCTCGGGGCGGCTGGGAGAAGGCTTCGGTTTCCTCTGCCGAGCGTTCCCAGCCGGGGCGCCCGCTGCCCGGGGGCCGAAGGCTCCGCTTCCCAGGCACTCGGGGAGCGCACCGGGCCGGGGACCGAGCCCTCCGGGGGCCGCTGCTCCGCACACAGCCCGAGTGCTCGGGGCCGTTAAGCATCACCGACGGGGCCTCTCCCCCGCTGCAGGCGGCACGGAAACCCCCCGGCCGTGCTGCACCGTGCCGTGCCGACCCGTGCCGTGCCGCCGGTAACTGTCCGCAGTGCTGAAGCCGCCGCGGGCCGCGCCGCCCGGGCAAGCCGCGAACGGGGCCGGGGCCCGGAGCTGTCCCGGGAGCCCACACCGAGGCGCTCCGGCCCCCTGCGTGTCCCACGGCCGTGTCCCGGCCCGGGGGAGCCGCCGCTGCCCGGTGCGGGGGCCCGCTCCGGCGGCGGTCAGTAGATGGCGCAGAGCCCCCGGGAACGGGAGGCGGCGGGAGCCCGGTGCCACCGGGCGGCGCGGGCAGACGGGGCGGGAGCGCTTCCGAGGCCGCTTTGTCCAACTGGCAGCGAGGGTGGCAGCGGGGAACGGGGCCCGCCGGGGTCCCCTCGCCACACGGCGGGGAATTCCAGCAAAGGGCCCGGGGGTGCCGGGACCGGGCACAGAGGAACGCGGCTCCCCGCTGCCCGGCCCCGCTCCTCCACCCCCCGCTGGGCAAACATTAACGAAGGGCAAACGCCGTGCTGGGCGAGCGGCCCTCAAGCAATCCCGCAGCAAGGCCGCTCTCCGCCCCTCGGCCCCGCCACCTCACTCCGGGTCCAGTACCCGCGGACCGGCCGCTGCCACGGCCTCTGCCCCGGGGTGCGGGCGGCGAAGGCCCCCGGTCGCTGCCCTCCGCTCCCCCGGTGCAAGGGCACAGCCCCGCCGGTGGCCGTCGGACGGGCTCTAGCGAGGCGCTCGCAGGCCGCCCCGCTGCTGCTGCTGAGGCCGGGCGGCAGCGGGGCAAGAGGGGGGGGGCGGCGCTCCTTAGATTTCATACTTAACGTGGGAAACGCTCTGATTGCCGTATCGATTTCCTTACAGTTAATTTGGTGAGGATTTCTCGCCGACTTCCCAGCCTTCGCTTAAGCCGAGATTTAATTTGGGAGGGAGGAAGGAAAAGGGGAGGGAGGAAGAGACGCGAGCTCGGCAGCCGGCAGCCAGGCCGCAGAAGCCCAGCGAGCAGCCGGGCCGAAGGGAGCCGGGCCGGGCCGAGCCGCCCCCCTCCGAGCCCCGCCACCTGCTCCCCGCTCCCACCGGCCCGTACCGGGCTCGGGAAGCCCCCGTGGCAGCGGGAAGGGCCGGCGGAGGCGGCTCTTGGGGCTCCCGCTCTCCTCTTTTTGTCGCCTGCTGGAGCAGCGAGGCCGGGGGGGCTCTTGGAGCCCCCTGCCCCGGTCCCCTCGCTCAGCACCGGGCACTTCCCGAGGCCCTCGGGCAGCGCCTTTCCAACGTCTCCCGGCTCGGCGCAGCTGGTTTCCTCCCGCACTAGAGGAGTCCGATTTGGCCTTCTTTATCCCTCCCTTGTCACCTCCTCCCCTAGAAAATAACCCGAAAGGAACCCGCTCCCGAATCCCAGTAGGCTGCGGAAGGGCCGTGCGTTTTCTTGGAATTGCATTTCTTTTTCGGGATCCCTTCGCTGCCCTTCCAAATGTCAGCAGAGGCGGGGGGAGGGCAGGAAGAATAACTCAGGGAGAAACGGGCAAATAGATAAATATTCAGCGCTGAAGGGGGAGCGAGGGGGGACAGACAAAGGAAAAGAGAACAGAGAGGGGAAAGAAGATGGGATGAATAAGATGGAGGCTGGAAGAGGTCAGCTTTGCAATTAGCAGTTCTGCTTACATTTCAAGAGACAGCCCGGGAAGTGTCAAGACCTCAATCCCGCTCCCATGTAACTACCAATTTTTCCTCTATTTGTCGGAGCTTCTGTAATCTGGGAGGTAGGAAGCCCCCAGGGATGGCTGCAAGGGGCCAGTACTCGAGATAAAGCGCCGGGCAGGAGCGCGGGGCCTAAAACCCCCCCGGGCTGCGCTCCCCGGGCCGCCTCCCGGCTGCTGCCTGCGGGCGCTGGGAAGAGGCGAGGGCTGCGGGGCTGCGCCGGGCATTTCTCCGCCTGCTGACGCTCCGAGCGCCCGGGAGCCAGTTATAACGGGGACGTGACATTTAATTCGCGTCGCCTGGAGTCATTTGTGGTGTTTGGGGTTGCCGTTCACGCCTCCATCCCCGCCGGGGCGCGTTTCCGACCCGCGCGGGATGCTCCGTGCGGGGGCCGCGGGGCGGGGCGTGGCGGGGGCGCGCTGCGGGGGCCGCCCCCATTGGCTGCGACGCGGCGCTATGCAAATGAGCACGTGCTGCGGGGGCCGCGCGAGGCCGCGCTGCGGGGCAGCCCCGGGGCCGCGCTGCGGGGACCCCCCAGCACGGGCGGCCCTCCCCGGTTCCCCCCCCCCGGTCCCCGGGCTGCCGGCCCGCTTTAGCCCCGGGGAGGCCGCTTGTCTGAAGCGCCAGCTGTCGGGTTGCAGCGCTAAGGGGAGGCAGAATAGCAGGATGATGTCTCCCTAGACGTATTGCCCGCATATACAGGGGTGGCGGGAGGAAGGGGGCGGTTTGGGGGCGCAGTGGGTCTCCCCGGACCCTGCAGCGGCCGCCTCCGTCCCAGCTCTTAGCACCGCCCCGGCGGGGCTGGCAGCGCTCCCCGGCCGGCAGCGCCAGGCAGGGGATGCCAGCAGGCTCCGAAGCGGGGGGTTGTTCCCAGTATCGATCTATGCAAATGAAGGGAGATTCAGGTCGACCGAATTGTCGTAAAAATACACGCCAAATCGAAGAAAGTTCGCCCTAGCAATCGTTAAGGGGATATCGGAAACACAAACCCCGTCCTCCTCTCTCGGATAGCACCAGCGAGACGAGGGTTTTACCCCTGGCGGGGGCTGGTGCTGGGAAAGGAAGGCGGAACGGGCATTTTCTGCGAGCTCAGACCTTTGAAACTGACTCCGCAGGAGTGGAAGCCAAAGAGAGCAACGTCCTCCACCAGCCAGCACCGGCAGGGACGGCCGCGGCACGGGGGAAGAGCGAGGTCCCCTGCCGCGTCCCCTCCCCGGCACCGCTCAGCCGCAGCCAGGCTGCGGGCACGGCCGGGGCCCAGCCAGGTCCCAGCCGCCCACGGAGCGGTTCCCAGTTCCCCCAGTTCCCCCAGTTCCCACCGTCGTGCCAGCCGGAGGCGCAGGGACGTTTGCGCGTTTGAAAGAAGGAAGATATTTGGCCCTTCCCTTATTTTTGTCTGTGAAACGGATCAGTGACCCCGGCTCCAAGTCGGATTGACTGTCTCGCGTTCTCCAGGGACAAATTAATGGAGACCTATCACTTAATTAACAAACCCTCACTCACGGCATATTAAACTCGGGCTCTGCACGGGAAGCACACGCTGGCGGGCCTGGGGAGGAGGCGGGAGGAGAACGGGTACAAAACAGGGCGGAAACACATTTTGCTCCTTCGGGTCTCCGAGCAGACAATACCGCCGCCGTGCCCCCCGAGCACACCGACCCCGCGATCGCTGGGGTGTTTCGAGGTCCCGGAGCAAGGCGGGGACACCACCCGGATCGCTTGCTCTCGGGCAGGGGCATCCGCGGGAAAGCCGAGCTCCAGGGGCTAGTGCTAATTGCGACCGGTTCCAACCAAATAATAACCTAACGACCCTGGCCAACAGCGTTTCTGGCCGCGTCTCTCTAGCCGCCGCTCCCACGCCAGGCTCGCCGCGTTTGCGGGGACATCGCCGCCCCCGGGCACCGACCCCAGGCGCGGACCGCAGCCGGCCCCGGCCCCGGCCTCGCCGCACTGCCCGCTCCGGGGCTCCCCGCGACCCCCGGGACCCCCGGCATTTGTCCGTGCCCCGGCCCGGGTCCCCGCTCCCGGCCCGGCCGCCAAACCAAATATTTCCTCCTCGACCTGCCGCTGCTGGCGGCCTCAGCCGGCGTGCGCGCAAACCCGGCGCTGGGAACGGGACAAGGAGGTACCGGCGAGCCCCGGGCAGGGGGGCTGCGGGCCGCCCCGCCGCGCCGCCCGGGCTCGCAGCCGCCGGCTTTCGGGGCCGCTTCCCCGCGGCCGAGCCCGCCGCCGCCGCACCTGCCGGGGAGGGACGCGATCGGGCGGGCGGCCGGCCCCGGAGCACGGCGGCCACCGAGCCCCCCGCCGCCCCTCCGGGAGCCCGGGGCCGGCTTTGTGCACGGGGCGGCCCGGGCCGCTGCTCAGCGCCGGCCCCCCCGGGCCGCAGCGGGCTCACCTGCCAGCCGCAGAGCAGACATCCGCTGAAACTCCGGCTCCTGGAGCCACTTCCACATCCTGCGGAAGGTCTCCCGGCCGGATTTGAGCTTGCTCCAGGGCTTGGGGTTCCTCAGCAGGTCCGAGAGGGTCCCTTGAGAGCGGCACAGCACCCGCTGGGCGAAGATAGCCTGGGGGATGCTGTACCGCTTGAGCTCGGTGGTGATCCTCTGAGCTACTTCTTTGGTATTGATTTCTTCCATTTGCCCTGAATTACTTCCACTGTTGACCTGCGAACCGGTTACAGAAGGGTTTTGCTCCCTGGCCGAGCCCAGGATCTGCCCGTGGCTCTGGGCGTTCAGGTGGGCATGGGGGTGGTGCGGGATCCCGTTGATAGGCACCATGCCGGCGGAGGTGGGGGTGAGGTGTTGGTCGCCGTGCCTGGCTAACATGGCGGGGTGGTGGGCTTCGAAGCCGTTCGGGGTGAGCATTTTCTCGGCGGGCATGGCGGCGCCGGGGTGCGCGTAGTGGGGCAGCCCTTGCTGGGAGTTGTGGATGCCGCCCAGGCCCGACCCGGACAGCGGAGAGAGGCTCTGCCCCATGCCGGCGACATCCTTGTGGTAGGGGGTGTAGAGGTTGTTCACGGACGCCAGACCCCTCTCGTCCCGCATGAGCGTGAAGCTGCCGCTCACGTTGCCCGGGATCCGCTGGTGGGGGTGGTGGTGGTGATGGTGGTGGTGGTGGTGGTGCGGGAACTTGTCCGACACCGTCGAGATGGGAGGCAGCGGCTGCAGCGGGGTCAGCGTGGTGTAGGTGCTGCTCATGCTCATGCCGGGGGGGGTCTCGCAGGCCATGGTCATGGTGGGGTGCAGGGGCCCGCTCAGCCCGTGCTCGGGCGGCCGGTGGTGGTGGTGGTAGTCGCCGCCGTCGAGGATGGCCGCCATGCCCATGGGGCGCGGGTGGGCCGCCAGCTGCCCGCCGCGGTGGGCCACGGCGCCGCGGTGGTGGGGGCTGCCGCTCAGCAGCTCGGCGGCGGCGGGCACCGGCTCGTGGCTCACCCCGTGCAGGTCGCCGATGTTCTCCATCGCCAGCTGCGCGTTCATCGCCGGGCGTGCGGCCGGCCGGGCGGCACGGCCATCTGCGGCGCGGCCCGGGGCTCCTGGCGGCGGCCGCGGGACGGCGGCGGCGGGGGCGGCCGCGGGAGGGGCTCGGCGCTGCTGCCGCTGCTGCTCGGCCGCCCGCGGGGAGGTTTTGGCTTGGTGGTTTTAGTGGATTTTTTTTTTTTTTAATGGATTTTTTTTTTTTTTTTTTTTTTTTGTGGATGACGCCGCCGGATCAGCTCCTAGGGCCCCCGCTCTCTCAGGCCGGGCTCCGCAGCCGCGCCGGGTGTGCGCCCGCGTCCCTCGCCGCCCCTGCCCATGGCTCCCGGCGCGCTCCCCGCCCGCGCACCGCCACCGCCACCGCTCCTGCTGCAGCCGCGGCGCCCCGACCGCACCGGCCCGGCGCATGCGCGCGGCGCCCCCCCACGCCCCCGGCCCCGCCCCGGGGCCGGCCCCGCCCCCCGTGACGTCACCGCCCCTATTAAGGGGGCGAGCCCCGCGCGCGGCGCCCAGAGCCGCGGCCCCGCCGCCCCCGGCGCGGAGCGCGCCCGCGCCCCCCCCTCAGTGCCCTCCCCGACGGGGGCTGCCAGCACCGCCCCCCGGTGCTGCGGGGACGGTTCCCGTTAGCCCGGCACCGCGAGGGCCCGCGGGGGGCGGTTCCCCCCCCCCCTCACCCCCGCCGTGCGCCCCCCGCGCCGTGCCCGGCCCCGCAGGGCCCGCTCCGTGCCGCCCCGTCCCGTCCCGTCCCGTCCCTTTGGCCATGGGTTTCTCCCAAAAGAAAGAGCGGCAGGAGGAGGAGGAGGAGGAGGAGGAGGAAAAGGGGAGGGAGGGGAGGGGGCGCACAGCCTCCCGCCGCCCCCCTGGTGCCTTTATGGGGGGCGCAGGGGCAGCTGTGCCTATTGTCCGCCCGGGGCCAGCGCCGAGCCCGGCCGGGCTGCGCGCAGCCTGTGCGCGGCGCCGAGCGGCGGGGGGCAGGGGCCGGGCCGCGGCAGGGCACGGCCGGGGGGGCACCGAGGCGGCCGCAGCAGCGCCCGCCCGTGCGGGGGGATCCGGGGCCGGCTGCCGAGCGCCCTTCGCCCCCTGCCCGGCAGCGGGGAGCGGGGCCGGGACCGGGCAGGGCCCCGGGAGGACCCCGTGTCCCGGTGCCGCCCCGGGATGGGCACCCTCGGGGGGTCCCCGTGGGCCTGGGTTACCGCCGGCCGTCGGTGGGCTCGCAGGAAACTTTTCTGTGCCTGGAGCGCTGCGTGCGCGGCCCGCGGAGCGGGCAGGATCGGGGCTTTTCCCCTAAAAATTCAGGGTTCCCACAGCCCGTGCGGTTATTTCCCGGCGCTAAACCCGCACACCTCCGCACGCTTTTGTGCTGGAGCTGGGGCCGCCGCAGCACCTCGCCGAGAGCCGCCCGGTACTCACCGCCCTTCGTTCTCCCGGGCTGCCCGAGGCTCCGCCACGTTTTATTTTACGCTAAAAAATACCTCCGGGTCCCGCACTTCTCCTGCCTCTCCGATCGCTCCCCCATCCCCAGAGCCCTCTCCACCTCCCTGAATTTAGGCAATATTAACGTTAACAACGCCGCAATTTCTTATAGCGAGGGATACGTAAGGAAAGGTGTAGCGGCGGCTCAAGCAGAAATAGCCCTGAAACGCAATTAATGGTCTCAGGAAACGTTTGGGGTAAAACAAAACAAAACAAAACAAAACAAAACAAAACTATCCAGAGCATTTCACCACCGCGACGAACGGCTGCGGCTGCTTTCCAGGCCAACGCGAGGTGATGTTACGGGTCTAATCGAAACGTTGCCAGCTTCTTCATAGCCGACATCTGCATACAGGTTACCGTGTAATGAAAAATAGTTCATCTCCACGCCTTTAACGGTTAGTTGGCAAAGCGAACATGATAGCGAATATGAGTCACTCCCTCGAATTTGTAGGGAAGGGCAGCATCCATTTTTCCCCAGGAAAGGTTCACTCCCCACATCCAGCCTCAATTTTGGGGCTCCCTGGCCACACCGCCTCCGCCCAGGGGTGCGGTTGCGGATCTCAGGCGAGTCCCGGCCACCGCTCCGCAACCCTGCCTGCATCTTTCCTTCCCTAAAGGGCATTTTCCCCATTACTCTTAGGGGCGAGCCTCGCAGCAAAATGCCCCGGCGTGAAAAAGCCGCCGGTGCTGGCGCACAGGAGCGGGCTCCCGTGGTGCTGCGGCCCCAAGACGGCGCCCGGGCACGGTTGGACCGCCGGGAGCCCCGGGACGTCGCCAAGGGCCCGGGGCAGCCCCGCCAGGCCCCGCAGTGCCCCGGCTCTGAACGCCGCCGCTGGGGCCGCGGGGCCGTCGGGGCGGCCCGGCCGTGGGCTCCCCTCGGAGCGGAGCCTCCCGGCCCGGCGGCGGAGGGGGGAGCGCCGGGAGGGCTCATTTCGGTGCTTTAATCAATTCCTGCTCGTGCAGCCAGGTACCATGTATTTAACAGAGTGATCGTTACCGCCCTTAAGTCTTTATTTGATCAGCAGATACTCAGAGCGGACTTAAAATGCAACTTTGCTTGTTTGAATAGCGGTGCGTGTGTGTGTGCGTGTCTGTGTGTGTGTGTGTGTCTGTGTGTGTGTGCTTTTTAAAGCCGAGCTGATGGGGCACGGGGACGGCCCCGAGCTCCCGGCCGGCGCCGGCACACGCGGCGCGGCCCCGACGGGGCGGCCTGGCCCCGGGCACCGCGGAGCGCCCGGCGGGGCGGACACACACCGGGCGGACCGGGCATGGGGCTCTTCTTCGTCTTCTTCGTCTTCTTCTTCTTCTTCTTCTTCTTCTTCTTCTTCTTCTTCTTCTTCTTCTTCTTCTTCTTCTTCTTCTTTCCCTCCCTTCCATTTCCTTCTCCTTTTTCTTTTTCTTTCTTTCTTTCTTTCTTTCTTCTTTCTTTCTTTCTTTCTTTCTTCTTTCTTTCTTTCTTCTTTCTTTCTTTCTTTCTTTCTTTCTTTCTTTCTTTCTTCTTTCTTTCTTTCTTTCTTTCTTTCTTTCTTTCTTCTTTCTTCTTTCCTCTTTTCTTCTTCCTCCTTTCCTTCTTCCTTTCTTTCCTTCCTTTCTTTCTTTTTTTCTTTTTTTTAAACTTCTTTCCTTCCTTCCTTCCTTCCTTCCTTCCTTCCTTCCTTCCTTCCTTCCTTCCTTCCTTCCTTCCTTCCTTCCTTCCTTCCTTCCTTCCTTCCTCTTTCCCTCCCTCCCTCATTTTGGGGTGCATGCCGCCGCTGTCGGCCCGGCCCCGCGCCCCTCTCCCTCCCTGTCCCCGCTCCCCCAGCGCGGTGACAGCTTGCGGCGGCCGCGGCTGCCAAGTCCCCTCGCACGGGGAGCGTGTCAAAGGTGACGCTCGGAGGCTCCCAAAGCCAACAGCTGCCGGGGGGGATTAACTTTTCCAGACTTTCCCCTGTTGAGCTTCTTGGAAACTTGCTTGGTGACAAAAACATATACATCTGTCACGGGCCAGGCAGAGAAAAGAGGGCTTTAAAGGCTGGGGCAAGCGGGGGAGGGCCGGGCATTCAGGGCAAGCTGCGGAGGGCGGGGAGAGGCGGGGGGCTCGCTGCGGGTGCCAGCCCGGGAGAGCGCAGGGCCCGGGCGGGGGATCCGCCCCCACCGACCCCCCCAGCAGCCCCGGCCCCCGGCTCTCGAACGGAGCCGTGCGCCCGGCCCCGACGGGGCGAGCAGGGCCACGGCTCCGCGCCCCGTTCCGGCCACCCCCGGCCCCCTCGCCTGGCCAGGGCGGCAGCTGAGTCCCGGGGGAGCCGCGGGCAGCTCGGGAAGCGGCGGCTGGGCTCGTCCCGGCCCCGCCAGGCAGCCCCCGCTGCCCGCCCCAGGGCGCCGGGCTGCCGTCGGGCCGGGCACAGCCCGCTCCCCGCCGCCCGGGCTCCCGGCTTCGGGGGCTGGAGGGCTCGGGGGGGTCCCTCCGGGGCCGGGGAGCGCGCAGGGGGGCGAGGGGCGAGCCCCGAGGGCTGCGGGCGCTGCCCCGGCCGGGCCGCCCCGAGCCGCCTCTGCAGCCGCGCTCTGCCGCCCCCCCGGCGCGAACCGCAGCGCTTGGTAATGAAGGAACTTAGGGAAGCTTGCAAAACACCGTAAATAATTTAGCATTGTATTTCAGGAAAAAAAAATAGCTTTCTTAAATCATCTCCTCAATATAACTTGCAGACTTACAGTATGGCCCTGGTAAGTCTAAATTTTTAAAGTAGCAATATTCAAAGAGACAGAGATGTCTGTATTAATTATTTATCCGCTGGTGCCTTCCTTCGTTTCTAACTTATTATTAATTAGGCGCCTCTAGTCTTTCGCAGAGAGCTCCACAGAGCCAGTTGCAGCTTTAAATATGAATTAAAAGCAAATCCAAGCTACTGTAATGCGAAAATTATTCCGTGTCTTCTATGGCAGAGATGAATAGCCGCGCAGATCAATACTGTGAAGCTATGCTCCAAACGACAGGGTTATTGATAGCCTATATTAATGATGTTAATGATGGAAAAAGGAAAACAAGAACCCGACCAACTTATAAACTTTTTATCTGCTGAAACCCCGCAATCAAGCGGACAGGAGCATGAATTAAGGGGGCTGGAGATAATCAGGACGTTATTTATGAAACCGGATAAATGACTTCTGGTAGTTTGATGCGCCTGAGCCCTGCGCTCCCGGCTCCTCGCGGGCAGGCTGGGACCGGCCGGCACTGCCCCCGCCGCAGCCACCGGCACCGGGGCGGCCCGGCGGGCGCGGGGGGGGCCCGGGGGTGGCTTCTGCCCCGGGCCAGGGCGGGGGCTCTGCAGGTATCACCCGCTGTGCCCATGGCACCCAGCTCGGGCCAGCCCGGCCCCGACGGGGCCCTGCGGCCGCTTCCCGGTGCTTCCAAGGGGACCGGCGGGGACCGGCGAGTGGTGGCTGGGGGGGAGCGCAGCCCCCCGCCCGCTCCTGCCTGCCCCGGGGCGCACAGGGCCTGGAGGGGAAGGGGCCCGGGGCCAGCCCGCTCCGCGGCAGACCCGAGCCGGGCCATACGGGGCCGAACCGGGCCGTGCCGTGCCGGGTCGTCCCTCCCCAGGCGTGCGGGGGGCGTTGTGCCCGCCGTCGGGGCCCCGGCCCTGCCCCGCGGCCGGGCTGGCGGCGCAGAGGAGCGGCTCCTGCTGCCCCAGCCGCTCTCCCCGGCGTTTTACCCCGGCACAAAACGCGGCTCAGCGCCCTGCTAGGGGCTGCCGCGGCGCCGGGTGCTTGTGTATATTCAAATACACAGCCCTGCTCGGGCTGCGAAACAATGGAGATCAATAGCGTTTTACCGAGCGCTATTAATCGGGGTTATTATTTAGGGAAAGATGCTCTTCCTCCCGCCGGGTGCTCGGAGGCGATGCTCTCACTCTCTTCCCTCCCAGCGCCCGAAGCAGCAGCCCCGGCCCGCGGCTCTGGGTGCGGGGGCTGTGGTGCCCAGCAGGCGCTGCCATCCCGTGCCTGTCCCAGCGCCCGTGCCACAACTCTTTGTCTAGATGCAGGCTCTGATATGCAGAGCCTGGCTCGTAGATAACATCATTTCGCGATTTAAAAAGCTGCTGTCTACGAGCGATATTTTTGGGAAATATGTTTGTAATTATTATTTTTTAAAAACACCTTCCTCCAGGAGAAAGTCGCGCTTGTTTCCAAAAACAATTCACAGCAGATAGTGTAGATATCACTTAATTCCTACAGAAATCAATGTGAAAATTAGATTTATTGGCTACTTACATTGTTAAAAATGACAAAGTGCTGCCTTTTATTTTCATAAAAACACAGAAGACCGAAAATCATTTAATAAAGAATCCACCTAGTTTAATTTCACTGTAACTCTCTTGCATCGAAACCAATTCTTCCAGCCTCTCCCTCATCAACTCGCCTTCCCTTCTAGTATTAACGACAAAAATACCATTCTCAAAGAGAGTTAAAAGAGTAGCTTTGTTTGATGGCGGAAAAACCTCTCACGCCGGTAGCCGAAAGGTGCCACGCAAATGAAACAGGACCCGCTGTTCCGCACCGTATGGAGCTCCCAGTTCTGCAGCGACCTTGTTAACTCGAGAGGTTCGTTAATTTTTTTTTGTCTTTCTTTTTTCTTTCTTTCTTTTTCTTTTTTTTTTCTTTTTTTTTTTTCTTTTTAATGTATTCATTATTTTTTAAAGCAAAATGTTTTTGTTGTTATTATTCAGGACTTATTTAGCGCATAAAAGGAAACCAGGGAGAGAAGGGGGAGAGAGAGGGAGGGAGGCAGCCTGGTTTCTCAACGCGCTCGAAGCCAGCGGGCGCCAGGCTTGCGGCGGCCGAGGCGGTGCCCGGCAGCTTCGCCTCCCGCTACTTGTTGGGTTTCGCAGCGAGGGAACGAAAGCTCCGGGCCGGGGGCAGCGAGAGCCCGAGGGGGCGGCCCGAGGGGGAGGCCGGGGTCCCACCACGGCGGCCGCGCCCCCCCCGGCCCCGGGGCAGGCTCCGCTCCCGCGGCCCCGGGCCCGCCGTGTGCGCCCCGTCGGGCCGCGCCGGGCCCCGCGCTGGGGGGGTGCCTGCCCCCGGCCCTCCCCGGGTTCGCTCCTCGAATTTCGGCCGGGAAAGGGCCTCGGCGATGGGAGCCGGGCCGGGGCCGGGGCCGGCCGTGCGCTGCCCCTGCTCCGCGCTCCCTGCGCCGCCGGCGTTTGGGCTTCGCGCCCCGCCCGGGGAGAGCGTCGATAAAATTCTCCGTATCAAATGAGCAATCATTTGTTGTGGTTACATGTTGGGTAATGAAAGATGTTAGCAGGATCAATAAAAATGAAAACACTTTTACTTACATCTTGAATTACTGTTTTAAGGGGTGAGCTGTGGTGGTGATGCAACAAACCAGAGAAAGATCTACAACCATCAAATGTCTTCGAATGAAACCAAAATGAAAGCGTGGCACCCCGGCAGCACCCGACCCCCCCCTAACCCCCCCACCCGAAAGCAGCTCCGGCACCCACGTGAGGGCCGAGGGGCAAGGGCCAGGCTGCGCCCCCGGAGCGCTGCCCCCGCGCCGCATTATTGCTGTTTGCAAAGCAAAACTCGCTCGTCTTCGGGGGTGTCTAAAGGTCAGATAACAGGTCGTAGCCCAAGGCAAATGGGAATTTTAGAGAGACGGAGAGCCAGCCAGTTCCCTAGCATCCTGAAAGCTTTTCCTTAGCTGTCGCTAAATAATAAAATATCTGCGTGGCCCCTCCATTTATTTCCGCGCCCAGCAGCCGTGCCGCCGCTCTCTGCAGTGCACGGAGCTGCGGGGGGAGCAGCCAGCGACTGCCCCCGACCCGCGATATCCGCCCTGCCGCTGCTTATCCGAACTGAAATAAAAGCGTGCCCCTTAGTAGCGGAAAATTCTCCGCATCGATTTCGGAGGCGTTCGCGGGGAATTTCGCCAGGAACAGCCCCGAACATGGACGCTGGGCGAGCTCCGGCACCGATCAGGGTCCCCCCCGCTCCGGGCTTGCTCGGAGCGGCGGGGACGGGGAGCGGAGGGGCGGCCGGCCCGGCTCCGCGGAGAGCCGCCGGGGCTCCGGCAGCACGGAGGCGCCGGCCGAGGCCGCCCCCCCCCCGGCCCCGGTGTCGGCGCATCCCGGCCCCGGTGTCGGCGGGGAGGCCGCGGGCCCCGCTCCCCCCGCGGGGCCGCCCCCGCCGCTGTGCGCCCCGCCCGGCCCGGCCGCGCAGCCCCTCCGCCCGCTCCGTGCCCCGCCGGGCACGCTTACCCCCGCCGGCTCCGCACGCCGCTGGGACGGGCATCCGATGCGCGCTCGCCTCCTAGATTTGGCCCCCCTAGGAGGAGAGAAAAAAAAAATAAAAAAAAAAATAAAAAAAAATATATTTAAAAAAAATTTTAAAAAAATCTATCTGCATAATTTCAAATGAGAACGAAAAGAGGAAAAAGAAGAAGAAAAAAATGCAACCGCCGCGGCTGCCACGCCAGTCCCGTTAAAAAATAAAGCACCAAACCCTCACAAGGTGTAGGAGAGATCTTTTATTGGACCAACTTAAACGCAAGAATTTACAGCCAGAATTACACGTTCTTCATCAGCCCAACATGCACCAGAGGCAGAGGCACAGGCAGCAATTTGTGTATTTCCTGGGTCTGCAGGAGCTGGGATGGTTTTGGTGGAGGAAGGGGGTGGGAGAGAGGACAGACCCTCTTTTTCCCCCCAAAGAGCCTCAGTTTGCAGCTTAGATAAAAATAAAAATAGAAAAAAAAATCACCAAAAAACACAACCAAAAATCTCTCCAGCGCAGGGATCTAGTCCAGGATCAATTCTCTCCCTTACATCCCCAGTCATAAACAAACAGCTTCCAGCTAAATCTTTTAAAGGTTAAAAGGAACAAAAATAGAAATAATAATCAAGGGCTTTTTTCTTCTCCTTCTGCTTGTTGGACAGCGCATTTTGGTCAGTCTAGCCTTGCATTTAGGGATGCTACTTGCATTTGAATAGCTGCCTGGCTGGTTATGGATCGGGAGGCTATGAGAGGAATCAGTATGCAAATTGTTTCAGTTACAATCGAAGGGTTCGATCTGGAGAAGGTGCCTGAGCGGAAGTCGCTGTCAGCCAGCGGTGCATTAGGCTGCCATTGCCTCCTCCGTGTGGGCCTGCTCTCCCTTCCCCTCGCCCTTTTTTATGCTTGTGTACAGGTTTCTCCGGCGGTAATTAAAACATACACACAAATCAGGGGCTGCTGCATATCACGTTGGTGCCTTTTGCAGGCTGCGGGCTCGGGGAAAGGGGGAGCGAATATATCGCCATGCTGCCGGGGTTATTATTATGCAGCAAGGGTGAGGCGATCAGTGAAATAAAACATTTATAAATGGTTTCGTGCTTACAGTAGGAGAGGTGGGCCGGGAGGGCCGCCCGGGCGCTGATCACACAGTGCAGGCTGCAAATCGATAACCCTTTCCTTGTAATCCCAGTAATTGTGGGAATCACGGCTCTCTGTTAAAGGGACAGCGGGCTGCAGCGGGGGCTGCGCTCGCACAGCCCCAGCCCCCCAAGGGCCCTCCCTGGCCGCCCCTGGCTTTGTCTGCAGGGAAGCTGGCAGGGTGGCAGGCAGGGAGGCTGGGGCAGGATCTGCCCCCCCCGAGAGCCATTCCCACTGCCCCCTTTGCGGCCATACAGGTCCTTTCTGTCACCTGTGGTGTCCCCGACCCTGGACACAACATCCTCCTGCCCTCTGTGCCTCCCTGTGTCGCCCCTGCAGCTTGAGCTGCTGCCCCAGGGGGAAGAGAGCAGGAAGGGGCCAGGCGTAGCTCTGCCTCCCCTGCCCAGGCTGCCCCATGGGGCCCAGCAGCTCACCAGGCCCCACAGAGCAGCCAGCTCCTCGCCTTCCCCATCCCTGGCCCTGCCAGGAGGTGTGGGAGGCCTTGCGGCCCCACGTTGCTCGGGGTTCTGTGATTTCAGAGATGCTTTGTTGTGTGGCAGGGAGATGGGAATGGCCGGCAGGCTGCTGGGCTCGGGCTGCCCCAGGTCCTGCCTGGCCCTGGGGTGCACCTGAGCACCCTGTGCCCACCCAGTCCCCTCGGTGTGCGGCTGCGGCCCTGTGGGTGCGTGGGCAGTGGCGGCGGGGACGTGGGGCCCAGCTCCTGCCCTCTCCTGCCGCTGACCATCTGTCATTCAATTAGGGCCCGGAGGCAGCTGAGGGGCTGGGGGAGCGGGGCTGGGGGTCAGCGACCCCGCGCACAACGGCCTGCTGCCTCGCAGACGGGAAGAAGTTCAAATGTTAAATGCTCTCCGGCCCCGGCTCATCCAGGGCACTCGCCTTTGGAGGCAGCCGAGGGGTGAAGGGCATCAGTCATTAGCACTTAAATTTCAGCTCCGAGGCTGACCCTGCCTTCTGTTGGGAGATTTCGGCCTGAAAAGCCTTAACCCTTCCCGGGCAGCCCGCACCCACCCCGGCACCCCTGACCTGGCCAGGCTGCTCCCCACTACTTCCCCCGAGGCCTGGGGCTGCCCCCGGGGCAGGATAGGGATCCCCGCAGTTCGGCCCCCCACCGGCCACGGCTCCGGACCCGCTGGAGTGGGCAACAAGTCTCCTCGCCTGGGCAGCCACCCTGCCCACCCCTGCTGCACCTCCTGTGGGGCGCCGTGCCACCCCTCCCCTTCCTACCGACAGAGCAGAACAAATTGATGAATTGAGCTTTCACTATGCTAATTCGGACATTATAAATATTTAACTATCAGCCCTAGGAGCCAGCCAGAGAGAGCTCCTCTCTGCTTTATGTGCCACTCGATCTAAAGTAAATGTTTACACCAGAAGTGGCTGGGGCAATGCAAGCTTCCCTTTCCTGTCCCTCAGGAAAAATTCTCAGGAAAATTCTCCCTCAGGGCAGCCTGGTGGGTCCAAAAGAGGGGACTTACCACGCCAGGCTAATTTCTGAGAGCCTCCCCAAAGGCCTCCTCATTTTTGCTGTGCTAAGAGGCTGGACAGAGGCAGAGATACGGCGTGCACCAGGCTCTGCCTCCAAGAGGGTCCCTGGCCGCCTCAGCCACCACCAGGCCCACTCAGCTGCCTGGAGCGGTTCTCACCTACGTTCAGGAAGGAAAAGGTTCCTGGCATGGGCTCAAGGCAACAAGGAAGGAGTTTTCAAGGGGAACTGGCTCCTACCACCCTCCTGACCCCAGAGGCCTCAGGGGGTGGTGGGCAGGCTGGAGAGCTGGTTCCCCCCGTGCTAACATCAGCAGCCCAGCCCTGGCCCTGCAGCAGGCCTGCCTTGAGTGAGCCCACAGTGTTTAGCACTAAACTAGGGCAGCACCTAGCAAGAGGACCCCACAGCCTTCGTTTTGAGGACAGATTACACTCCTCTCATCACATCAGCATTTGGTACACTTTCTTGGTTGATTTACTTGTTGTTCCCTGCTGAAGGAGAGCAGTTTTCTCCTTCAGCCTGGTGGCACATCACAAGTGCTTGCTGGTGATTGCAGAGCTTTACTGTTTCTGAAGGGTTTGAGCAGCTGTTTGATTCCCTTGGCTGTAACAGTTTTACAAGCTATTCAGCTTAGAAGGCTGTAGAAGCAAAAGAAAACCTTACTCACAGTGGTGCAGGGGTCTGGGACTTCAAACAGCTCAGTAGGGGATCAGCCTGGGTGTTGTAAAGTGTTTATATGGCAGCTGTGCCACTCACCCCAAGCAGCAGGCCTTGGGAAGCTGCCTTTCTGTTTACGAGCTCCGTTAATTGGTTAATGAGAAGCTTATGGTATCTATTATTTATTCTGCCCCTGCCTCTCACCTGCTAGCAAAAAGCACTGCCCTGTCCTGAGGAGGAGGTTGGCAGCCTGGTGCCTGGCTCGGTGGGCAGTGTGGGGTAGCCGCTGCCCTGGCACACCATGCTGCCTCTGGGAGGGGGCTCCTGGTGTGGAGACAGTGTGGGGTGCCACATGTGTGGGGTGCCACATGTGTGGGCTGGATGTTGGTCTCTATGTGAAAATGCACAGAAGCACAGGAAATCATTCCCTGTATGCTGCTGCAAAGTGCAGGGTTCAGCTGCCCTCCCAGCCCACTGTTTTTCAGATGTGTGGGACGGGGGTGGTATTTTTGTGCTCTCTCTCTGCTCTATCTGGGAGGAGGTGGCAGCAGGCTGTCAAGGTGATGAGGAGAGGGAGAATCCAGCCAAAGGGAGAGGGAAAGGCTGCAAAAGAGTGGTGCAGCAGTAGTTACTTTGCTATAGGGTCAGATATTAGATTATCAGCAAAAGTTAATCCCAGTCACATGATAGATCTTACATTTGCTGTCATAAAATCTATCATTATTCAATAGGCATGGAAATCAAATTCTTCTGTGGACTATGAAGCAGGAATCTTTTAAAAATGTTTACCATGACAGACAACATATCGATCCTTAGTTTTGAGGCCTCACAGACAATTCAGAGCCATTCGTGATCACAAGCTGGCTTCGCTGTGTTCATTGTCCAAAATCAAACCCCACCAATTGGCTGCACGCACAGCTCTCCAAGCAGGTAGCTTTTATTTTCCTTACTTTAAAGACTACTGTTTTGTTATAGACAAATAACAAGGAAATTATATGGCATCGACCTGCCTGCAGTGACCCTGCTGTTTGCAGTAGTGCTCACACAGATGCACGGTGAGGAGAAACGCTGCTGCCTTCTGCCACAGAAGAAAAGTCGCCTTCTGTGGACACGACTGAGCTGGGATTTGCCGCTGCAAATGGCCTCATTTATTCTGGCAGCATGAAGGGTCTGATCTCATGTCAATGGGAGTCAATGCAAATTGCTTCACTGGTACTGGGGACACTGGGCTGGGAGGTCCATGTTGCTGCAGTATTTCTTACCCAGCTCTTCTAATTGCCCGAGAAAACTGACAGCTTTGTTTCTCACATTGTTTTGTACTTTGCAAAGGCTACAAATTCCACAGTTTTTCTCTTCCACAATTGTCCGTTCCTATCTCTCAGTCTCCCCCTTTCTGCTGTGGTATCAGGAGCTGCAGAAGGAAGTCGAAAGGAAAGGCCAAAAATGCTGATGCAGGACATGGGGGAGCTCCGGTGGGTTACGGCACTGTTCCAGCACCTGGGCTCCTCCAGCGTGTGATGAAGGGGAGCCCGTCCTTCCTCTGTGACATGGTGAGGTACTTCAAGTCAGGAGAAAGAGCTCTTCTGGGTAAGGACTATTCGCTGCAGGTGCTGTGTGAATGGCACCAGCTTTCCTGCCGGAGATGCTCAGCCATTTCACGTGGATTGCAATATCACATTTATAAGCTTGTTTTTCCCAGTCCCCTTCTGTGGACACCCTGGGGCAGTCCAGGAGGTGCCGCAGCTCCACGGTG